CGAGGATCGCCCGCGCTTGGGGGCGCACGGGGGAACTGAGCTGAACGGCCCCCGAACAATCGATCAAGGAGGGGGGTGGGAGGACAAATCCGATACAAGATCGGCCCCCGGACCCCTCACGGGGCCGAAACGGACCACCTGCTAGGGCCGTGTCCAGCCGTGGTGACGAGGGGGGGGCCCTTCCTGCCCCGTTCCCGCTGGCCCCACCCCAGTGGTGGGCCACGTCGGCCCCACGGCTGGCCCTCCTCTCGCCCTGCGGCACTCCGGGCTCGGGCGTTGCCAGAGGTGCCCCTGGCCCAAGGTGCCCCCAGCCGATCGCTCCATTTTGGAGGCCCTGGGGCCCTCTGTGCCTCGTGAGGGGTGCTCTGGAGGCCGTGAACGACTCCCAGGAGCGCCCAGAATGCGAGAGGATGGTCCAGGACGCTCCCAAGCAGCCCAAGTCAGCCTTCCGACGGCTCTCGAGGCTCCCAGGTAACCTCCAAAGAGACCCCAGGAGAGGTCCGAGAGGCGTCCGGGGACGGCCCGAAGAGGCCAAAGTTGTCGACTCTCATCTGGGGCCTCCTCGGAAGTCCTGGGGGGCACCCTGGGCCAGGGGGGCACTTCTGGCAGCACCCGGCCAGGCGCGCTCGGACGTGGCCCCGGCCCGTCCGTCTTGTAGCTCATCGCCAGCACGCCGCGGTAGAGCCCCGCGGCGCCCTCCTGGGAGACGATGCTCCGCAGCACCTGCAAGAGGATGCCTACCTACCAGACCACCCCAACCCAACCCGAAGCCTCGAATTTCGGGTTGGGGGGGGACACGGGTTCCATGTGTTTTTTCCATGTTCCCCGCCCCCCCCCCCCCACACTGGAAATGGAGGGCAAATTGATGCCTTCGGGTTGGGTTGGGGTGGTCTGGTGGGTGGTGAGAGGAGAGGGGGATCGAGGATCGGGGTTCGAAGCTCTGAGATGTTCGTGGCCTCCTGGGGCGCTCTCGTGGCCACTGCGGCTGGGCTCCCGCAGAAGCGTGCCCTGAAAATGGAGGATCGAGGTTCCAGGCCAGCGCCGAATCCATGAGCCGCACGCCGTTGGCGAGGCAGCTCAACTGGACGAGGACCTTGGCCCCACGAATCGAGGCTGACATCGCGAGGCACAGCACCCTCGATTCCGGCTGTTTGCAACCTGGCGGCGCGCACAGCGGGGTGGGGGGAGCTGGGAGGCTTTTTCGACAGAGGCTGCTCCTTAGGAGGCGCCGGCCTTGCATCTACACCCTGCGAAATGTTTAAGAAATCATGGGTTAAGAAATTCATGCTCTCAGAAATTGAATAAAACCCAGGTCTTCTATCAAAATCTTGGGATTTACATTGAAAAGTTAAGAACAATCGAGACTCTGGACGAAAACTTAGGTTTTCTTAAGCATCGCCTAAAGTGTACTGACAAGGCCCGAGCTGTCTAGGAGTGCAGGAACGCTGCTGAGAAGCCCTCCCCCCCCTCCCCCCGCCACCCTCGGCGCGTGGCCAAGCCTGGCCACAGGCCAGAGGTTGTGATGGGAAAGCCGTCGTGCACGGGTGCAGCCACAGGGGAGGTCTTGCCCTCCCGTGCCCCGCACTGCTGTGCCGTCTGCTGCACCCAGCTGGCTCGCCCACGGTGGAGGCCAGTCCACAGGAACCCCTCCACAAGAAGCCCAACCCTGAGACCCCAGGACGTCCCTGGATTTTTATGTGTTAGAACGTCACGCTCTCCATGGCACAAAAAACATCGAAGCCCACGAAACCCAGGGCACGCTGGAGGCAAGCAGGGTGTTTCTTGGCATGGGTCCCCACTGTACTTGCTGGGGAGAACCGAGGATCGAGGATCAAGGCCTGAGGAGGCAAGACAGAGGATCGAGGCTTGAGTTCTTAGGAGGAGGCGCAGGAGGAGGAGGGAAGGAGGGAGAGGAGGAGGAGGGGGAGGAGGAGGAAGAGGAGGAAGAGGAGGAGGCTTTGGACCTACGACAGGTTCGTGTGGCGACGACCCTTGCGTTGGTTTCTGACACAGCGTGGGTCGTGCAACATCGATAGATCGGCGGCGTTTTGATCGCCAACTCGTTCCATATTGGCCGACTCCGTGCCACTGGCGGCATTCAACCTTGGAGCGCCCACGGCGGGGTCGCCGCCGCGGGGCGCTCTGATGGCTACGACTGGATGGGTTTCCCTGGACATTCTGGTCAAAGCGCACCCTTGAAATTGTCAAGGATGTTAACCACAGGTGAACGTTTCCTTTTCGGCGTTTTGACATTGGACTGGAGGGGGGGGAGGGGGGGGTCTGGCTCCAGACCGCTGCTTAGAGCGACTGCTTAGCAATCGCTGCCATGGGCGAGTACTCCACGCTGACACAACGCCAAGAAACAAAACCAAGATCTAACTCCATGGGGGGGCGGGAGGGGGGGGGGGGGGGGGGGGTGGGGCGAGGGCCCTGCCCGATCGGCAAAACAACGAATAAGAAAACGACGACCAGTTTCGAGCATCAAGGCTCAAGGTTCGAGGTGCTTGGACATTCTAAAGAGGGACTGCGGACGCCATGCTTTTCGGAGGCTCCCCGCGACCTCCGGGGACCTCCTGGAGACCTGCAGAGAGGCCGCCCACCTCGGGCCGGGACGCGGGATGCCGAAGACATCACACCACGTCGCCGATGCATCGGCGATGCCTCGGCGACATCGGGATGGGGAACGCTGGATTTAAGCAGGGACCGACCGTCCCAGCATTCCTATAGGCCTACCACGACGTGTTCTTAGAACCCAAGAACGGTCTAAGAACAAAAACAATGTTCTTAGAACACAAAGCCGATGTGTTCGAACAAGACAGTCCCGGCCAGAAATGTTCTGAGAACATTTCGTGCAGACCACAAAAGGTTCTTAGAACCGTTGGTGGGCCTATAGGCGAACCAGAACGCTTTGCCACTTCTTGATGGATCCCAAATCGCCCGGCATCGTCGTCGTCGTCTTCGTCGTCCACCTTCAGCTTGGACGCCCGAAAGGGGTACGCAAAGAAGGGGTAATAATGATAAGAATGCCTCACCACAAAGATTGTCGGGCAGGCGGCCGACGTCTCTCGAAGGGACACAGTCTGTGGCGACGCCGACAGCGAATCCTGCTCAAAATGAACAGGCAATTCTGATGGTCTTTGCACCCATTCTTTCCGTACTGGTTACGACCGTCCCGGTTCAGGGTTGGCGGCACCGGTCGTGACGCCTCCACAACACCGGACCCCGGATCGCCCGACATCGCAGACGCACCCGCGAGGCGTCGCTGACGCACCGGCGACGCTGGGAGGGGGGGCACGTCGACGACCCCGCGCCCCCTGCGCCCTCTGTGAGAGCCGGCAGGGGGGACCGGCTCGGGGGAAGGAGCAGCGAGCGGGGAGTGGAGAGGCACCGCCGACCAATCGGCGGCAGGCCCCCGACGGCGAGGAGGGCTATCGGGCCCCCCAGCGGCGGTGAGCGGGCGATGGGGGGTCCGTGCGTTCCCCCCGGAGCGCATCCCCGCCGAGAGTGGCCCCTGCCCCTGAGCACTCACCCCCGGAAGGTGCCCCCTCGTGGGAGCCCCCCAACACGAGCATGTGTCATCCATGGATGCCTTGCTCGAGCAAAAAAACCTCTCTGAAGAGAAAACTTCCACGCATCGTCCCAAAGGCGTCCTGCCAGAACTGCACCAAAAAGACTGCCAGGCATCGTCCTAAGGGCGTCCTGCCAAGAATACTGCACCAGCGGTGCATGCAAATTGGCGGGCATGCGCATGCTCTCCAGAGTTTATTTGGAAATGTGCGAGTACAGGCGGAGGGCGCCTCCGAGAGTATGCGGCAAAAGCGTCATCCAAGCGGCGCACAACGAGTGGTCAGAACGACGTGACGTCCCGCAGAAGAATATTACAGCTGCGCACCCCGGGAGGAAGGAGGGATAGAGGAGAGAGGAGGGGGCAACGAAAAAGGAAAAGATAGCCTTCCTGCTGCTGCTCCTCATTATCCTCCGCATCCCCAGCAGATCTACTCATCCTCCGCCTTCCATACGGTAATCCCTGTTGCTCGTCATGTTCCTTGCACTCCCTTTTCTAAACTATTTTCCCATCCTCCATCGTCCCTCCTTCCGCTCATCCTGAACATCTGCCATTATCATCGTTCACCCATCGCGTTCGTCATCCCTCCTCCTGGCCACTTCTCGCAATGGAACCATATGTCTTGCAGGGGCCAATGGAGAGGAAACACGGGGGGATCGCAACATTTGTCCTGCGCCTTGGACTCACTCTGGTACTCATCCTGATCCTGATCCTCATCCTCCTCATACTCATCGTCCTCCTCATCCTCCACATTTTCCACATCCTCCACATCCTCCACATCCTCACCCTCATCCTCCACATCCCCACCCTCAGTATCATCCTCGTCCTCATGCTCACCAGCACCATCATCATAATCAGCATCAGCATCAGCATCAGCATCAGCTTCATCACCATCATCATCATCATCATGATCACCATCATCATCAGCATTAGCATCAGCATCATCATCATGAATATCATCATCATCATCATCATCATCATCATCATCATCATCATCATCATCATCATCATCATCATCATCATCATCATCATCACCAGCATCATCATCAGCATCAGCGTCGTCATCATTGTCATCATCGTCATCGTCATCATCGTCATCATCACCGTCATCATCAGCAGCAGCATCATCGCCATCATCATCACCACCATCACCACCACCACCATTATCATCGTTATCACTATCACCCCCATCACCGTCATCCATCCATCCATCCATCCACCCTGTCTCCACCCCTCCCTCCCACTTTCCTATCCTACCCCTTCCTCCCTCTCTCCTTCTCTAGGGGAACGAAAAAAAGCACAAACAGAAAAACTCAGAGGTCCGCGCGGATTTCTTGGATCCGCGCTGGACCCCCCCTCCCTGGCGCGCGGAGCGCGCGAGGTGGCCCCCAGCGCCGATCCGAGAAATCCGCGCGGCCCTCCGAGTTTTGATGTTTATGTCATTCTTCGTTGCCCTGGTCTGACTACCTACCAGACCACCCCAACCCAACCCGAAGACCCGAATGTCGGGTTGGGGGGGTATGGGCTCCATGTGTGTTTTCCGATGTTCCCGGACCCCCGCCCACTGGAAATGGACGGCAAATTGAGGCCTTCAGGTTGGGTTGGGGTGGTTTGGTGGGTGGTGATGGTCTCCCTCCCCCCCCCCCACCACCACCCCCCCGAGGCACCTCCACGGCGGTCCCTGCCCCGCCGCGAGTCGTCTGCTGCAGGACCTCTCTGAGCAGGGTCCGGGGCGCGCGCGGGCGCGCGGCCGAGCCGACGGGGCCGCAAGTAAGAGGGGGGAGGAGGGAGGAGCGTTTTTTGGAACGATTTGGATCCTCCTCCCCTCCTCCTCCTCCTCTCCTCCTCCCTCCTCCTCCTCCTCCTCATCCTCCTCCTCCCCTCTCCTCCTCCTCCCTCCTCCTCCTCCTCCTCCTCCTCCTCCTCCTCCTCCTCCTCCTCCTCCTCCTCCTACCTCCTCCTCCCTCCTCCTCCTCCTCCTCCTCCTCCTCCTCCTCCTCCTCCTCCCTCCTCCTCCCCTCCTCCTCCTCCTCCTCCCTCTCCTCCTCCTCCTCCTTCCTCCTCCTCCTCCTCTCCTCCTACTCCTCCTCCTCCTCCTCTCCTCCTCCTCCTCCTCCTCCTCCTCCTCCTCCTCCTGCGAGAGGGGGAGGATCGTTTTGGACTTCTTCTCGCCGTTTGGTTCACAAGGTGGGCAGGCATGCGGCTCGGTGGCTCTGGCCGAGGGAAAGTGCACACGTCCGAGGGACGCCGGGTCCCTGCTGGACCAGAGCGGGGGGCGGCAGAAACGGCCAACGAGAGCACCTGCCCCGAGACGCGGCCGAGGCCCCGCTCGGCACAGGCACGCCCCTCACAGCGGCTGCCCCCGCTGCCCGACTGGGTCGCCAGAGCCAGCTTCGTCCTCCGTGCCAGCTCTGCACTCGGAGGACTTGAAGGGGCCCTGGGACACACAAAGAAATACACGCGAATGAAAAGATTCCCCGTATTTCCCCACATGTTCTGGGTTTCTGTCCCCCCCACCACTTCCCATATTTTTCTACATTTTCCTGGGAATCGACGATTAATTGTGTCTGTGTGTTTTTCCCCTCCTGAGGATTGTCGTGCCCAAAAATCGGCAGCATTCGCGCAGCGCCGCAAATTCGTCGCTCGCGCGCCCGCTCCACGGAGCGCGGCGCACCCTCTTGACGGTGGAACAGCCCGCTGCGAGTTCGAGGCCAATTACCCCGACCCTTCCTCGCCGTCCCAGAACACAGTTTCACCATGTGCCGGGGGTTCTCGGTATTGTACCGCCTTCACTCAAGACAAAACGCCATGCCATACTCGGACATGTGGGCCAACACATGTGATTTGTGCGCCTACACCATATCTCGATCCGGCAATATGGCTGGCGACGTGACCAGTTCGCCTCCAGCGCTTGAAGCAGCGAGAATATCAGGACTCAGCGCAGGCCCCACGCAGGCAGACCGACAACACTGCAGAAGCTCGCTAGATCGCACCAGGCGGCGGCAACGGCGACAGGACCACTCACTGCCGCATTGTCACCACATGGCGCGCAGAGGCCGCTGCCGCCAAAGGGCTGCCGTCTGCGGCGGGCTCCGAACCCCCACGGGTCGCACCGCTTTCACCCCGTGCGCATCCGCAGACTTCTCCAAAGCCTTGCGGGCGCGTCGCCGAATTAACGCCGCCGCGGCGCCCACCTCGTCGGTCCGAGGCGAACTTCCAACCTGACCCGCCCACCACCCCCGCTCGGCCGCCTCCCCCGACCGCACGTCAGCGACGGCATTGCTGAGAGCTAGAAAGACGGCGCGGGGAGAAGTGAGGAGGTGGGCGAGCTCGTCAGCACGCGGCGCCACCCACTCGACCTTCGCGGGACCCTTGCCGCGCGCCGCATGAGCGGCTCGCGCGCGCGATGCCACAGGCCAGCCGCTACCGCCACGTCCTAAAGAGGGGTTCGTGGTCCGTGATGAAATTGAGCGCCCCCGTCGTGAACTCGAATGCGAGAACGAGCGCGAGCACCTCCGCCCTCGGCACTGTCTGCCGCGGGCCGACAAGAGGCCCCGCCCTGCCAGCGCCGATCTGTCATTGGCCCGTCACTCGGGCAGGCGCAACTACGGGCTGCCCCGCAGCGGCGCCTCCGAGGGCCCCACGAGCACGGGCCGCCCGACACACCCCTTAACACCTTCACCACCCCACCCCCGCCCCGATAATCATCAAGGGAGTCATGCCCAAGCTGAAGGCCCGCCTGGGCCACGCGCTCCTCGACTGGGACAACTCCGCGCAGCCACGAAGACGGTTGCGCCCCTGAGCCTCGGCCAGCGCACGCGGCAACAGGGAGGCTGACTTCTCAAAGGCAGGGTCGTCCACATTACCGACGCTTAACCACGCTCGGTGCATGAGGTCCTCTGGAAAATGTTCGCACCTCTGTCACATCGTTGAGTCTAGCACGTAACCAGCACGGCAGCGTCGTTGCCGCGGCCACTGGCCTCCTGCGACTACCGCCACGTCCAGGCCCCACTGCGGCCAGTCCTCCTCCTTCTCGAAATCTTGCAGCTCGTTCCGCACGCGCCAAAAGCCGCCGCCGCCCTGCAAGCCCCCAACCGCTTTGTGTCGCGAAGCAGCCCGCCAGAGCTGCGCCTGCAACTCAGCGGTGCTCAACGCACGTCGCGAAGCCATCGTCCTCCTCGCGAAGCCATCGAAGCCCGCCGCCGTGGGACGGCGCCAGGTCGTGGCCAAGACTGGACCCCACCCCCGATCCAGGAGCGTCGCCTGGACCGCGCCCATGGGCCCGCGCACTCCACCTCCTGGCACGGGATGCCGATCGCGGAGACTGCCGCAACCTCCCCCTGACACATCGCGCCGCCGGTAGCCGCCACCATGCTCTCGCTCGACCAACCATCCTTCAGCGCAGCACGGCTGGTTCGCGTCGCGTCGACCCCGACGTTGGTCTCTGACACAGTGGGGATCGTTCGACCATTAACGGTCGGCCGTTTCACACGTCCAAATCGTTCCACATCGGACGATTCTGGGTCACCACGTGCCCAGACCCCGCCACCACGCGGGGGCCCCTCTGCCGGAGACCCTTCCCAACGGTTTTGGGGGATCGGGATCGCGATTTCGCACCCACGAGGAGGAGGAGGAGGAGGAGGAGGAGGAGGAGGAGGAGGAGGAGGAGGAGGAGGAGGATGGGGGAGAGGAGGAGGAGGAAGAAAGAGGAGGAGGAGGAGGAGGAGGAGGAGGGGGAGGAGGAGGAGGAGAAGGAGGAGGAGGAGGAGGAGGGGGAGGAGGAGGAGGAAGAGGAGGAGGAGGGGGAGGAGGAGGAGCAGGAGGAGGAGGAGGAGGAAGGGCAGGAGGAGGAGGAGGAGGCGGGAGTCTGCCGAAGGCGCGGGGCCCACCACGGCACCCAGGCCACGCCGGCGATCCCGCAGCAGCCTGGGCGCGAGGAGAAGAGCTGCACAGCCAGGCCGGCCCACGACGGCAGGGCACCCGCGAAAAGCCCCGCGCTCTGCATCAGCAGGCACGCAGGCGTAGAAGGTCTCGACGCCGAGCAAGAGCAGCGCGAAGAGTACCCGAGAAACGTTGGGTCTAGATGACTACCTACCAGACCACCCCAATGTGACCCGAATTTCGGGTTGGGGGGGTACGGGTTCCATGTGTTTTTTCCCTGTTCCCCGACCCCCCCCACTGGAAATGGAGGGCAAATTGAGGCCTTCGGGTTGGGTTGGGGTGGTTTGGTAGGCGGGGTCTAGAGCGCCCACGGTGCAGCTTGAAGCCCAGGCCCGCCTGCGGGCGACTGCCCCTGACCCAGGCGCCCCGGGGAACGGCGGAAACGCGTCCGCCGCCGAGCTCAGAAAAAAGGTGCCGCCCAGCCTGCTGAGGAGGAGAAGGAAGAGGAGAAGGAAGGGGAAGAGGAGGAGGAGGAGGAGGAGGAGGAGGAGGAGGAGGAGGAGGAGGAGGAGGAGGAGCATCGCGGAGGCCGCGCGCAGTTTGACCCCTGCCTCCACCCTTCTGGTGGCGACAGTTCCAAAGCGGCTCAAGGGGCCCAAAAAATCGTTCCAGGACAGCCCAAGAGGTCTCGGGCCCCAAGACGGCCCAAGAGAGCCCCAGAACGACCTCAGAGGCGCCCAAGATGGCCCAAGATGGCCCTAAAAGAGCCTCAAGAGTGGCCCAAGAGGGGGAACTCGAACTTCCTTGTCAGGACCTCCGCCCCAAGAGCACCCCCGAAACCGCCAGCAGGCGCCCAACAAACCCCCAAAAGGCTCCAAGATCCCCAAGAGGCCAAAACGATTACTCGATAGGCCCCTCAAACGGTTCCCAATAGGCAAGAGACCTCACCTGTGGACTTCGCTTCTCTTCCGAGGGTCGGTAAACTGGCGCAAGTCGCTTGTGTAGCAGTTACACACTTAGAACATGCGATAACCGCGTTTTTATATGTGTATATATACACATGCCTATATACAAACATACATACATACATACTATATATACGTGTGTGTATGACTGTGTATGTGTGTGCGTGTATACATACGTATCTACACACCATGTTGGAAGTACTAGCCAAGGGCGTGGCATCATGTTTGAAACTCTGCGTTCGTGCGTGCAGGACGGCTCGGAAGTCCCCCGGCATTCTGAGCAGCTGTTCAGACCCCCCCCCGAAGACCCCGACCATCTCTCTCAGAAGGCCCGAGGGCTCCCGAGAGGCCCCGCCGCCTCCTCAGAGGGGCGTCCCCTTCTCACTCCCCCCCCCTCGCGCGCCGCCGAAGAGGGATCGGGACATGCCTCAGGCTGGCAACTCGCCCCCTCTGCGGGGCGCGGGCCCCCAAGGGGGCACGGGGGGGTCCAGCGTCGCGCTCCGCGCTGCGCGAAGCGCGAGGAGCTTCGCGCCCTCGAAGGCCACCCCCCAGGGGAGAAGGAGACGAGGACGAGGAGGAGCCGGAGCCGAACCGCCGAGCGCGAAGCGCGAGGAGCTTCGCGCCCTCGGAGGCCGCCCCCCAGGGGAGAAGGTGACGAGGACGAGGAGGAGCCCGAGCCGAACCGCCGAGCGCGGAGCGCGAAGAGCTTCGGGGCGCCCTCTTTGGGGGGGGCGCTCCGGGCCCCCGCCGCGGGCCCCCCGACGCGCGGGGCCCCCCCGCACGGGGGAGCGGCTCGGGCCCGCCGCGTGGGCCCCGGGGCAGGGGGCCCTCCGGGGGGGGCCGTCGGCCTCTGCAGTCGGAGGCTGAT